CCAAGACCCCCAAGACCACCAAGACCACCAAGACCACCAAGACCACCAAGACCCACAAAGACTCACCAAAACCCACCAAGACCCCCAAGATCACAAAGACCCCAGAATGTCGGCCCCAAGAGTCAGCACGGGTGTGGAGCCGCGAGGGTGTGGAGCCGCGCTGGTGAGGAGCCGCGGGGACTCTCTGTGCCTGCTGGAGGGGAGGCGAATGGCACCAGCACCGTGGGAGAGGCCTGGTGGCCTCTGATGGGCCACGCGCTCTCACGGTCCAGGCGGCGCCCCGTGGTTTCTGGCCTCAGCTCACCCTCTACCTCTAAGATCTGGACTGCGAGCTGCTCGGCCCCTGGCCGGTGGGGCCTCAGTTTCTGCTTCTCTGCCTTCACGTCCCCTGGGGGCCCCCTTCCTCTGTGCGGCCTGCCTGGTGCGGCTGGGGTCAGCTCAGCACGGGGTCTCACGTTGCAGGGGAGGGACACGTGGATCCCTGTGAAGCTCCTGGAGTTTTGCTCTGAGTGGGGTGGAGCTCCTTGGGAAGACGGCTTCTGAGGCTCCACAAAGCTTGGCCAGGAAGGACCAGACAGGGCCCTGCGGGTTAACCTCACCCCCACTGTGGGGACGCTCTGCTAAGAAGTCTGCAGTGTGCTCCACCCAGCAGGACGCAGCAGACACTCCGCCAGGCCATGCCCACCGACCGGGAAGTCCCACCCCCAGTGCGGCTCCCGACCCAGGCCCAAGCCTGTTTGCTGGACACTGGACAGAACCTGTAGAGCTGGGGGACTCTCCCAGGAGAGATTTCCCCTCTGGAGACAGGACTCCCACCAGAGCTGCACCCGGGGGACATAGCCGCTGTCCCTTGGGATCTCCAGGCCAAGTCCTCACTCCTAGGAACGCTCCTACTCCACTCCCAACCTGTGTCCCCACAATCACGGGAGAAAGGAGAATCACGTGATGAGGGGGACTTTATTGAGCCTTGAGAGGGGCTGACAGATGGAAGATGAGGCAGGTGGACCAGAGCAGAGGAACTAGAGGGACACACAGGGGACTGAAGGTGGTGGGCTGCTGGGAGGTCAGGTTAGCATAGTGGACACACGAGAGAGCCACTGGGGAGCTCAGGAGCCGACTGGGGGGGGTGAATGGCCAGCAAGGGGGAGGAGCCTAGCCCACTGGCCCTGGGGACATGGCCGGTCAGCAGCAGGACCTCTGGCCCAAGGAGACACCACAGCAGGCCGGGCGGGAGCAGGTAGGGCGGCAGAGCAGGGACACGCAGGAGGCCGGGCGGCAGCAGCTGGGCTGGCAGGAGGAGGCACAGCAGGAGGAGACGGGCTCGCAGCAGGCGGGCCTGCACACGGGGCGGCAGAGCAGGGACACGCAGGAGGAGGGTCTGTAGCAGCAGACGGGCTTGCAGCAGACGGGCACGCAGCAGGACGGCTGGCAGGGGGAGGAGCTGCAGCAGTCAGACTGGCAGCCAGACTGCTGGCAGCAAGAGGAGGAGGCTCCAGAGCAGATGGGCACACAGCATACGGGCTTGCAGCACACAGGCTTGCAGCAGACAGGCTTGCAGCAGAGGGACACACAGCAGGACTGCTGGCAGGGGGAGGATGAGCAGCAAGAGGGCTCACAGCAGGACTGCTGGCAGGGGGAAGAGGAGCAGCAAGAGGGCTCACAGCTAGACTGCTGGCAGCAGGAGGAGGAAGCCTCAGAGCAGAGTGGCACACAGCACACGGGCTTGCAGCATACAGGCTTACAGCACACGGGCCTGCAGCAGAGGGACACACAGCAGGATGGCTGGCAGGGGGAGCAGCTGCAGCAATCAGACTGGCAGCTAGACTGCTGGCAGCAGGAGGGGGTGCAAGAGCTGGTGCAGACTGATTGGCAGCAGGGTCTGGACACACAGCTCACTGGGGTGCAGAGGAGAGTCAGGCAGGGGGCTGGGGCGCAGCAACTGGGCTGGCAACTGCTGGGCTGGCAGCAGCTGGGGGTGCAGCAGGGGGGCTCGCAGCAGCTCTCTGGGCAGTCGTCCACCTGCCAGGAGGACTCTGGGCAAGAGCTGGAGCAGACGGACATGGTGGAGGCGGCCATGGTGGGTGTGCTGGAGGAGGGTGGGTGGGTGTGTGGGTGGGTGTGTGGGTGAGTGTGGGTGTGTGTGGGGAGCTCTGGGCTCTGGCTTTTATACCTGCCTGGTCCCTGTGGTGCCCAGCCCACAGCCTCTCCTTCCGTGTTGCTGGGCCGGCTCCTGGCCGTCACGGGGATGCTTGTTTACCTGGGAGGCTGTCCAGCTCGTTAATGTCCTGCCAGCGTCGGGCCCTGGAGCGGGAGTGGGTTCCGGGAGCAGTGAGTGCTGGGGTGTTGTGTGTGGGAGGAGCCTGGCCACCCTGGGCTGTGGGGCACCCTCCAGCCACTGGACAGCAGCTTCTGGGCCTGTCTCCCTTGGAGGGAAGCCTGGGCACAGAGGTGTCACCTGAGGCTCACACCCCTCCCCAGAGCTCGTCACCACTGCAGGACGCTAGGCACCTGTACTGAGCACCCAGAGTCCAGGGCGCCTTGTGCCCTGCCCGGGGCCTCACGGCTGTGTGGAGCTGGACAGGCTGTGCCTGCCCTGAGCCCTGCGCAGGTCCTCATCCCTCCACCTCTCCTTTCCTCCTCCCTGTGGCCCTGTCTACCCCGTCCCTGTGCCTGGAGGCAGCAGGCCTCCATCCTCAGGCCAGGATGGTGGGCTGTGCCCTCCCTGCTGGGGCACCAGGCAGCCTCCTGGCCACGGGTCCAGGTTCTGAACCTGCAGAGCCAGGACTGCCCGTTGGCCTTAGCCCTCCTTGGGCCGCCTCTCCATTTCCCTGCCACTCGCTGTCCTGGGCACCTGCTTTTCCTACCAACCCCCTGTGGCCCAGTTTCACACTTTTCCTTAGACCATATAAAATGCTCTGTCGAGTTCTGCTTCTTCATGGGCGGAGTGGGCTCTTATCAGACTGACCATCTGAGAAAAATGAGGAACCTGGTTAACAAATGCAATCTCCACTGGAGAGCTAGAGGACGCACCAGGAGCTGAGCCTGAGGGACCAAGTCCCCATCACCCATCACAGGGGGCACAGCAGGGACCACTACTTTCTTGGATTTTCTTCCTGAGGCATTTGCAGTTCACAGGTCACAGACAAGAGGTTGGGAAAATGGAGAGAGATTTCAGTGGTCTTGGGGACTGACCACCAACATGAAGTGAAGCCAAGTCAGCTCCCAGGCTGAGAGGGGAAGGGACTCTGGCCAGGCACTCAGGCTTTTGTGGCCAACGCTGGGTCTAAGTGAGGCTGCTCCCCAGCAGAAGCAGAAGTAAGACTGGCCCCACCTGAACCAGCTCAGACTGAACTCAGGTGTTCTGCCAGAGCCAACAGGTGCCAGACCGAAGGTCAGCCCACT